TGGAATCCAGTAAGCGTGTTTCGTCCTATTTTGGACTGGTCATCTGGGAGTACCTACATCTCAGAGTTGATGTCCACTCTGGGACTCGAACCCAGTATCGTTCGCTTCAAATGAATAGCGCGATGGCGTTTGGAACGAGTTACTTGTATTATTCTGAATATTATGTTTGACAAATGTAGATCAGTGTACATATAGGTAATTGTTACATTTAAACTACTGATAATATTCAGTCTTCAATTCTATTACTACATTGTAAAAATAATAAAAAATAATGAGTTAATTAATGATCTGACTGGAAGGTAGTTTGTGTTGCTGGTAGTTTCAACTATTTGGTTTGAATTCTATAAATGTATTTATGATCCACAGTTTAAATCTAAAAGATTATCTACTTCCAATAAGCTGTAATCGTATCAGTATACTTACTTACTTACGCCTGTTACCCCTCGTGGAGTAATATAGGCCACCTATAGCTCTTCTAGGGCTACTGTTGATTCCAACTACGGGGTAAAAAAAAGAAAAAAACGACCTTGATAAATAACGCTAACCAGAAGAAACAAATTAAATCATTTAAAACCTGTCTTCCGAGTTGAAGGAAGAAGTATGAAGCCTCATAGTGAAAACCGATATTCTTCGAAAGTCACTAGGTCGATGCCACTTCTAACAATCAAAGCAACAATTAATATAAATACATGAATCATATCAATATAATATGCAATAAAATGTCTTGGCTTGTTGATTGGAAACATTGAATTCCGGCCAGTGCATTCTAGATTTTTCAAAGAGTCCAGTTTGAATAGTTTGATAGTATTATTAACATTATCATACAGATACATACAAATGCATAGTGTAATTTGGGTGTTACTTACTTACGCCGGTTACCCCAATGGAGCATAGGCTGCCGACAACCACTCTACATTCCACTCTGTCCTCAGCCTCCCTTTCTAGTTCTATCCAATTCTTTTTCATTTTTCTCATGTCTATTTCCATTTCTCGGCGTAATGTGTTCTTTTGTCTTCCTCTTCTCCTTTGACCTTGAAGGTTCCATGTGAGGGCTTGTCTTGTGACACAGTTGTGTGATTTCCTCAATGTGTGTCCTATCCACTTGAAGCACTTCTTCCTGATTTCTTCCTCCACTGGAATCTGCTTTGTTCTCTTCCACAGTAGGTTGCTGCTGATAATGTCTGGTCAATGGATCCGAAATATTTTGTGTAAATAACTGTTAATAAACACTTGTATCTTCTAAATGATGACTTTCGTAGTTGGTCAAGTTCCCACCCTATACAGTAGAACTGTCTTCACATTTGTATTGAAAATTCTGACTTTGGTGTTAGTTGACAGACAGTTGCTTTGACTTCTAGATGTTCTTCAATTTTAGATATGCTACTCTTGCTTTGTCGATCCGTGCCTTCACATCTGCATCAGATCCACCGTGTTCATCAATGATGCTGACCAGATATGTAGTGGTTTTTACATCCTCCGTCAATTGTGATTCGATTGTCGTATGTTGTGTTATATCGGAGAATCTTGTTTTCCCTTTGTGTATATTGAGACCTGCTGCTGCTTCACTTGTCATCTACTCTTGTATTTGTTGTTGTGTGTTCGATAGAAAAGCCAGATCATTTATCGAGTGTATAGATGTATAATTTTCAAAACAGATTTTTTCATTATTTTTTTTTCCATAGAAAGCATAAGAAAGATTGATCGATACACTTATCACTGATCTTTAACAATTATATCATTATTATATAACAATGATGTTTCGTAACTTTGTGTAAGCCACCTCTTCAGAGTGAATATAGAACCAACATTAAATTAACACAAGTAAGCAATAGTAATATACTCACTTATTATAATTTCACATAGTCAGCCGCTAGTAATATTTTATCTCTTATTTACAATGTAAGTATTCATTAGACGGTTAACAAAGTTACACTCAAGTTTATTATCGAAAAACTACTTTTTAATTATTGGTGCTTAGAGTTTTCAAATAATCTTTGATGAACTTAATATCGGTTAATATCCCGAACGGTCCAACTGGGGGAGTTGAAAAACCCTTATTCCAAACAAATGGTTCACATGGGCTCCAGGATCCTGAAGGAACAAATGTATAAACTTATAGTTGGTCACTGACCGCCATGGGACTACATCTCCTAGTGTTGATCCACTGCCTTATGAATTAGACCTTCAAGTCAAAGGCTCCGGGTGTTGCCCCCTATGAAAACCACCTGCTTCAGTCTGAACACCCGGGCAGTATCTCAGGTCTCACACAAATCAAGTGACTTGTGTAATGCATATGTATTCGGTGCCCCTTTGTGCCGATATTTATGTGTTCAAATAAATCAATATCCCAGTAGGCTATCCTACACTTCAAATACCTGTCAATACAATTTGTACATCTTTAGTTAAATAATACGCTGTAATAGTTGATAGCTTGATAGTAATTAATGTCGTGTTGGTCTGCTGCTGAATCCTGATTAAATCTGATTGGTTAATTTGAAATGAAATCACTGATCTCTATGTACCGAAATGACGTGTATCTTACTTGTCAATGTGTAAGTTATTTAGAAGCTACCCACAATAAGATCTGGATTTACGTTTTGATTTAATTGATAGTTATCTTAAAGGAATGTTTGAGGTCTCAAAGAAATTCATTGCGAAGAGAAGAATCATAAAGGAATGACAAATAATGAATGCTATTTTTCATGACATAATTTCATTTCACGAGCAATTACTTATCCTAGTATGGGATTATGGAGATTATTAAATTTCATTGTGATCATTAGCTGATCTGAGTTAGACCAACCGCGAAAATCTCTAAGCAATGTACAATCGTTACTTCTTAGTATGGGACGCAGCTCCTGAGAATGTAGTTGATTGATTGTAGTTAAACGTTAGAGGTTGTGTTCGTGGAATACCGAATTTTCTGAGTTTGATTTTCATGTACAAGATCGTTGATGTTCACTTTTGAGGATACCCATATTAGAATGAAACAGCTATCTGATGGTTTTAAGTTTTTAATGGTGGTCTAATTGGAATGTCTTCTTAATCTAGTCCCTCATTTTAATATAACTGTATTTTCTATCATTTTTGTGTATTATTGATTACGTTATTAACATGTTTATTCTGGTAACACTCTTTGAGTTAGTTAAACCAGATAAAAATCGAATGGCGAGTTTCTGCCATAATCGTTTCTTCTTATCGCTTGTCAACCAATCAGGTCTTTATTCAGTGATAGGATAGTTTCTTTTTTCACTGTCACCTTAAATGTTGAGCTACAAAGGTCAACTCATACGTTCCAAACCCAAAGTTTTACTAATTGACCTAGTACATCAAGGTCGTAGACTATTTCGATAAGACTCTGTTTACGTCTATTTCGAGTATAGACTACTTGGTAATGCATATTTGCTACAGATTCCACATTACATATGACTGACCATGTGTTACTTATGACTGTTACCCATTATGGAGCATAATGTACCAACCAGCATTTTCTAATTCACTCTTTCCTAGGCCTTCCTTTCTAGTTCTATAGAATTCTTGTTCATTCTCCCCGTGTCTGTTTACATTTCTCGATGTAATGTGTCCTTTGGTCTTCCTCATTTTTCCTTTGGTCTTAAAGATTCCAATTGAAGGCTTGCCTCGTGACGCAGTTGGATGCTTTCCTCAATGTCTATTCTGTCCACTATTGATTAAGTCATGTTTGTTATTCAAACAAAGTTGTTTGAAACTATTCAATTTTCAGTTTTAAATAGCAACTGATTTCAGTTCAAAAAAGAAGAACACATTAGAAAGTAAATGAGAATAGAAAACGATTTTTTTTTCCAGTATAATACTATTCCATATTAAGTATTCAGTAACTGAAAACGGATACTAGGCAAGGATGGCAAATCAATTGATGAAGTAGTGAAACTTCATCACTTAAGATGGTTGGGACATGTATTACCGATACCCAACCACCGACTGCCTCGACATGCGATGTTCAGTGGTATAGTAGTAGGTTAGAAGAAAGCTAGGGGTGACCAGATCAAAACATGGCACAAATCCATGAAGACACTGACAGGTGGACTGAGCCATGTTGGTAGGTGTAGACTACGTGGTTGGGGACCGCGAGATGGTTAGAGACCTTGAATGACATGGCTCAAAATCGTTTGCAATGGCGCAGATGCATCCACTCTTTGTGTTCTCCCAAATTCTAATCTCATGAATACTCCTTATCTATTGTTTTTTTTTCCAGATTTATTTCACTGGATTATACTCCTTTCATAGCATCTTCAAACCCTAATCCGATTACTGCTTATACTCTTACCACCTCATCCACTACGGGATTTGAATCGACAATTGTATTTGTGCGCTAATGTAGTATGGCAACTCGAACTGATGTACGTACGTACGCAGTTCTACGTTGTTACTGACTGACTGCCTGATTCAGTAAATTAAAGCTTATCGGATTTGATATTTGATACCTTGTATATGTAAATTTAATCAATATTCAACAAGGTTCTTTTACTAGACTTAGTGTATCATAACACCACTAGTAATAATAATAATAGTAATAATAATAATAATAAGTTGTTTCGAAATTGAGAAATCAGAAGACCAACACAGACACACACACACCCGTACATACACACACATACACATGCACATAATTTCTCACAACAATAAGTATCCATAGTCTCAGCAAGGAACAAATCTAGTACATTAAAGCATTATTAAATTTGACATTCAATACTTTGTATATGTAAATTGAATCAATATTCAACAGTCTCCTATTCAAAGTCTGTTGACTTTTTTTTTTGAAGGTTCTTTAATCTAGACTTTGTCTACCAATAATAATATGAATTGTATGGAAATTGAGAAATCAGCACATCCACACACACACACTCACATACATACAAACATACACACTTGTGTATACAATGATGATTTTCATTATGTACATCTATATATTCATGTATATTTATATTGACAACATCTATTTACATATACACAAATGGTATTATACATAATGTAATAAAGAAAGGTACTATCATTATCCATCTAGGTAATGAAAAGATAATACAATAAAACGATAGATATACATAAACGAATCATTATAAATATATATATGTACATGTAATGTTCTTCTTATTTTTCAACTATTTCATATACAGAATAAACAAACTAATAATGTTTAGTTTTAAAAAAAAATGATGTAATTCACGTGGTTTCATCATAATCTATTGAACTTATTAATTAGATTGTCATGTTATTCATCACTGAAACACAAGACTCTTGTCATCATCATCATCATCGTCATCATCATCACCATGATCGTCATCATGATTATGATCATCATTGAAAATCATTTCTTTCACATATATTTTTCATTTAGTTTTGACTGGATACTATACTTTCAACCACACAAACACACACTCACACACACACAGGCAAACACATACAGATTGGCGCATCCTTATACACAATAGCCCATTTAAAGAAAGTTTCTACATAATATTCATTCATTCATCTATTCACTTCATTCATATTAGAATGAAGTGGAATTTTTTTCATAAGAAATATGATACTACTAATAATCATAATTCATCGACAACAACACGTACAATATATGCTCATCATTATAAAAATTTAAATGGTGATTTATATTATCATAATTATTGTAATAATTATATTCATTCAACACATTATAAATGGTATAATTTTTTTTATAAAAATATTTATGAACAATTTCATAATATTGCAAATATTTATTTTTTATTAATTATTATTACTTATTTTTTTATAAATAATATAGAAAATGCTTCCATTACTATTATACCATTAATTATTATTCTATTAATTACAATGATTAAAGATGGTTTAGATGATTTATTACGTTATTCTATTGATCAACAATTAAATTCAATTAAATATCCAGTATTATTAATTGATTTTGATCAAAAATCAATAAATTGGATTTTTAAAAAATCTTCCTTATTATTAGTTGGTGATGTAATTTATTGTAAAAATAATCAATTATTTCCATGTGATTTATTATTATTATATTCATCAAATAATAATGGACAAGTTAATATTACTACAATGAATTTAGATGGTGAAACAACAATTAAAAAATATTATACATTAATTGAATATCAAACAATTTATTCAAATTATTTAAATAATTATTTAATTCAAACAAATTTAAAACAATTCAATTTTCAATTTATTATTGAACAATTATATTTACATGTTATATGTCAACAACCGAATGAGAATTTGATGAGCTTTCAAGGTCATTACAAAACTGCTCAACATTTAAAACATCATCATCATGATGATGAAGATGAAGATGGTGGTGGTGGTGATGAAACATATTTACCATTAAATTGGAAAAATTTAGTATTACGTGGATCAAAATTAATATCTACAGATTATATAATTGGTTTAGTAATATATACTGGTAAAGATACAAAATTATCATTAAATAGTAAAAATTCAAAAAGAAAATATAGTACACGTGAAAGATTATCTAATATTATATTATTAATATTTATGGTTGCCATGGTAACTATCACATTAATTGTTACTATGATATCAACATTATGGATAAAACAAAATATTAATAAAATATGGTATATAACATTTGAATTATTAAAATTATGGGAATTTATACGTATTATATTTCGTTATTTATTTATTATTAATTATTTAATACCAATATCTATTATAGTTACTATAGAATTTCAACAATTATTATTAGCATATTTTATATCTAATGATATTGTTATGTATAATTCTATAGAAAATATTAAAAGTTCTGCAAATAATTCACAATTATCAGATGAATTAGGACAAATTGAATTTTTATTTTGTGATAAAACTGGTACATTAACACAAAATTTAATGAAATTAAAATCATGTTGTTTATTATTTAATAAACAATTATATCAATTTTATAATGATGATCAGGATCAGGATCAGGATCAGGATCAAGATCAAAATGATAATCATGATAATACTACTGATAATACTACTTATAATGTATTGAATTCATCTTTGAAATTAATAGAGATGAATGAGAATTTTCGTGAATTTTTAACTATCATATCATTATGTCATACTGTTGAATTAAAAAATCATACTCAAATGGTTAGTAATGATAATAATGATAATAATAATGTACAAGAATCATCAATGAATACTGATGAACCATCTAGATTTTATGAATATGAAGTAAGTCTAAGATAAATTAGATATTATATGTCACATTTTGTCATTGAATTTGTATGTGTAGCTCACGTGGATGATTTTGGTGGAGTTTTGTTTTCTATTGGAAGTTTGTGCTGATGATGTCGTTCAAAAGAACGATGAAAGCTCCACGACCAAACCATCCAGCTCAGAGAACAAAACTTCACCAAAATTTGTATGTCAACTAAGATAATGTTTGGGTGTTCAAACTGAATCAGGTGGTTTACTTAGAGGGCCACACCCGGAATCTTTAACAACAAAGTAGTGGAGTAATGTTAAGAGATGAAGTTCCATGATAGTCGATAACGGTTATAACTTGTGGCTTGTGCGCCATGTATAACGTGATAATACCGTCAATTACAGAGCAGTGAATTATCGATCGAACCAGTAACGCATAAAACACGTGTGAGCAGCCAAGAGTCTTGATTGGTCCTGCTTTCCGTCTAGCCCAGCCAGTTAATTTCAGAACATCAATATCAGCCTCTGCGATATGATACATGTATTTTTAGCATACTGGTAAACCAGATCACATCATACCACAAAATAGCAAACGACATTTGTACAAGATTTAGTCAAAAGTGGCTGTGAATCAGGGAGGTAGTGACCAATAGACAGGGCATAATTAAAGAATGGTAAGTCGTATAATAATGGTTCATAAGTCAAAATAAAGCTTATGATAGCAGAGACATGAATATGTATACTTTAGTTACTTAACAACTATACGATAAGAATATATGCATAGTATTGTTCTATAAATGGAACCCAAAAGTTACCATTCATTCACAGTAACCAATAATAGGTCTATACACCATATGTTCCTTCAGTATCGAGAAGCTAATTTTTTCATTCTCCTGGAGTCACATTTTCATCTTTGTCAATTATTTGCTTATCAATTTTGGCTATTTTTATATGAGCATATTATATGTGTATACTTCCTATCTTATTCATCACATTCTCTGTAACTTATTTTCATCTGATTATAAATGTTGATTTACCGCTTGATGAAATCGAGTTGGCCAGTATGCTTTCTCCACTGTGTGCCATTTCGTTTCGTTTCTCTTTCTCTTCTTTGCTTCATTCGTTACGATTCTCTAATTCTTTGTTCCAATCAACAATTATAGAAAGTAAACGTATTCGAAAATCCATTCCGTTCTAGGCTAATTTGAGTGAAGTCAATGATTATATAAGACGATTGGTGTTATGCATATTTCAATAATGGTCACCATATGATCTAATTAAAGTCAGACCTCGTGGCCACTATCATAGCAAATATTGAGTGTTTACATTCAAATTACCAATATTAGTAAACTGTAAACTACTTAAAGAATTATTTATAACCCATTTATATGAAGTGAATATTTCACTTTTCAACTGAGATTATCGTCGAACAACAATGGCTACTGAAAAAGAATATTGTGTCATCATTGTGTCAATATAACAAGATTTGGATTTCACAATTTACTCTACAGAAGGTCCTTATGAATAGAAATTAATAAAAAAGTTTTGGAAGCATTAGACGGCCATTTCTTTCTCGTATGAGATTGCTCCACTCGCGAGATTCGAACCCAGGATGTTCTGTCTCGCTCGTGTACGCTTAAACTCCATACCACTGAGCCGAAATTCAACAATGTTAATGTCTGATTTCAATCGATACACGAAATCATGCCACTGTCTACCACTGTCTTCAGTGAGTTACTGCCTCACAACAGAGTCGTGTATATGCACTGCTGAGGAATACCACAATAGGACGAAACGGCCGTCCAGTGATTCTAGGTTTTTTATGGTGATGTAGTTTTAATTGACTCATGAATGCAGCTTTTAAATTCCTACAATCTGCACAAAACCTTCTTTTTGAAAATAAATAAGCTTTTGTAATTATCCAGTAGTTTGAAATGTAAACCAGTGGAATACAACTATAATCTGAATGTTAAGAGTTCACTATTAACCTTTACTGTTCTGGAACTGACCGTCTGATAGAGTAGTCGATGGACATTGTTAAACAGCCCTAAACTAATATGAAACAGCTTTCAGGTGCTTTTCGTTTTACAATTAAAGTTAAACCATTATGCATACAGTATGAAGTTACTCAGATATGTAGCTATTTTTCACCTTAGTTGATAGAATTCGGCTATTCATGAGAAAAAGATATACACAAGGTTGATTAGTACTCGATGAATGCATCTGATTAAAATCACCTTCATATTAATATATTTTATAATCTATCATCCTATCAATGAAATTGTAAATATATTTTACAGAATTCCATTAATACACAAAAATTATTTGATTATTTCGGTAATAATATAGTGTGTGCTACTGATATTGACAGATATAAGTAGTATGTATCATCAATCGACAGTTAAATACCCAGCAGTATAAGATTAAGAAGATCAAATAAAAGAGAACGAGAACAGTGAATGAAGTCTGAGACGATTGACTGACATTTTGCAAATGAAGTGATTACTGTATGGTTCTGAGATTTTACTAAGTGATTCAGTAATTTAATGCTCAAATGCATTCGGTTTTCCCAACTGTTACTCTCGTTCACTATTCACATAAGACTAAAACTTTGTGTACTATTGCCGACTGCATCGTTATAATTCAAATTACATTAACACCGTTGGATGCCTGCTCAGTGGTCTAGATGTTAGGCGTTCACGCGCAAGACTGCCAAGCACTGGGTTCGAATCCCGCAAGTGGTCTCATGGATGAGCACTGCTGAGGAGTCCCACAATAGGATGAAATGGCTGTCTTATGCTTCCAGGTTTTCCATAGTGGTCTAGCTTTAATTAACTCATGAATTCAACTATTAGATTACTATAATATCCATAAAATCCCTTTCTTCTTTATCTTTTTTCACTTTTAAGGCAACATCACCTGATGAGAAAGCATTAGTTGAAGGTGCTTCAAAACTTGGTGTTGTATTTTCAGGCAAAGAACCTGATTTCGATGAGACTGGTTCATATAAATTATATATTGATTATTGGTCATATTCATCAACAGCAATAAAAGAGTCAAATAATGAAAAGTTTATTCATCGTCAATGTTATATTGTTGATGCCGTATTGGAATTTGATCCAACACGTAAACGTATGAGTATTATGGTACGTTATCCTGATGGAACATATTATGTATTGAGTAAAGGAGCAGAAACTGCAATGTTAGATCCTGAGGTAATTTCACTTCATCTTTTATCTGTTTTCTTAGTATATTAATAGTTTTATGATAAAGTACCATCACTTAAAGCAATATTATGAAGATATGTTAAGTCCTGAACAGTGGTTTCGGTTTTATACGACATTCCAATAATATAATTGGAACTTACATTCCTCTTCGAGACCGTTAAAAGTACTTTTAGATATCTGCTAACTCTTAAATTAAAGTACTCATTACTTATATGTGATTAGTACTATAATTGTGAATATGTATGTTATCTTACTTAAGGGTAAACAGTTAAGAGAATGTACCATAATCTTAGATGAATTCAATAATGTAATGACTTATGATAGTTACCACTTTTCAACCAATGTATTAATACTATATGATAATAAGGTTTCTTTTTAAAGATCATACGTTCATCTTTTGTAAACTTTGAAAGACCATAATGTCAGAATAAGAATCTTCACAGTTACTGAAAGAAACTTATTGAAACTGTGAACAATAGTACCTACTTATTTCCGTTCTGATAACTAAGTATTAAGTCTGTATGTTATATTTATCATAAATTGATTTTTGTTCGAGTATCTTTGAGAACCAAAAATCAATGAACAGCTGTTCAGTCCAGGTATGAGAATCGAGACCGCGCATCGACAATCCTACTAGAGAACAACCCCAGTTTCTTGACGTATCATAATAAATGCATGGCCATTAGAACCAGTGATTTACTCTTCAGCAAAGTTAGATAGTGGCTCAAAGTAGAGTCCAAGATGCACGTTTTTATCCTGTTTTAGACCCATCGTATGGATTTATCTACACCCATGTTGAAGTTACCACTGGGACTCGAACCCAGTAGCTTCCGCTTTAAATGCGTTATTTACGGCGTTATTACGTCCAGAGAAGCAGAGGTGTGTGTAACGGGTTGAATTCCAAATTCACCCATAAAGTCCGTTTAAATCTTCTTTATGTTGATGTTAAGGACTACAATTGATCAGCCTCTTTTAGGATATACGGATTTTGTTCTGATTTATTCATGATAAACAACATTCATACATTTCAATAGATTTTGGCCAATTGCAAACCTTAACAAAAACAAACAGAATATTCAAATGACTTTCACCGGTACCATTATTTATTTACAAATTCTTAGAAACGAAATTCATTGCATTGCTGATCTAGTAACATTATCACTCGGTAGAATATGCACTGATAATACACTTTAAGGTCAATTTATCATCAAGATTTTATATCAGCCCCCAAATGCTCTCACATAGCCACGTACACATAACTACTGCCAGAAAAGTCCTACTCACTGCATTCTCGCGGCATTATTGTTGTTTACAAAATTGAAAGGACGAAAAGCGGATGTCCGGAAATTTAACCAGATCGGTGGATACGGGGGATCTACCTAAGAGAGTTGGAATACTCTGGTTCCAAACCAGTGGTGCACAAGGGTTCCAAGATCTTGAGGGAACGAATGGTGTATGAACATATTGTTGTCTACCGACCACCATAGAAATGCATCCTCTCACGCTTCTCTACTGCAATGTGGATCAGACCTTTAGGTCGAAGGCTATGGGTTTGGCCCCCTAAGAAAACTACCCGATTCTGTCTGAGAACCCGGACAGTTTGGCAGCCCTCACATAAATTGAATGATTTATGTGGCACATATGTATTCAGTGCCCGTTTGTACCAATATTTATATGTTCGAATAAATGAATAAATATCAGCTTCAGAAGAATAATTGGCAACCAACAACACTGATCACCTGTTTTGTCTACGACAATGAGTGTTTACGAATCATTCACTCAAACGTACAAACATTCTTGATATTGGGGATGCTAGATCTCCAGAAATCACTTGGTTAATGTCATATTTTTGTAATTTTATATTGAGAATGTGAATTTCTTGTCTTTGCTCCTAAAGCTCCTATTTTTACCTTTATGTCGTACATCCCATTTGGGAGGACCTTGAATGTCATTGGTTCGTTGTCTCTTTTAATATGCTATTTTGTAACGTTTCCCAAGGACATTTTTATGCTGTATATATGCGTTTGAAGTTTGCTTGACGTTGTTTGTACTTACGGCTGCTCGTGGAATACATTTCCCTCTTCTGAACCTGAACTTCTCTTTCTAATTTGCGAGGCTGGGACGCATTGAAATAGTTAGCTTATTTGAACATTATGTCATTCAGTTTTTGTTCCATTCGTAGATTAAGTGAAATCGTAATCTTTTCAAACATAGCATATACCAACTAACATATCATGAAAAAAAAATTATCAGTGACAGAGTATGATATTTATCTTTCTGCTTAATAAACCCTTTACATATCTGGACAGCATCATTGATGAACACGGTTGATCTGATGCAGATGTGAAGGCACGGATCGACAAAGCAAGAGTAGCATATCTAGAATTGAAGAACATCTAGAAGTCAAAACAACTGTCTGTCAACCAACACCAAAGTTAGAATTTTCAATACAAATGTCAAGACAGTTTTACTGTATAGGGTGGGAACTTGACCAACTACGAAAGTCATCATTCAGAAGATACAAATGTTTATTAACAGTTATTTACACAAAATATTTCGGATCCATTGACCAGACATTGTCAACAACAAACTACTGTGGGAGAGAACAAACCAAATCTCAAAGGAAGAAGAAACCAGGAAGAAGTGCTTCAAGTGGATAGGACACATATTGATGAAATCGCCCAACTGAATAACAAGGTAAGCCCTCACATGAAATCTTCAAGGTCAAAGGAGAAGAGGAAGAACAAAAAACACATTCCGCCGATAAATGGAAACAGATATGAGGAGAATGAACAAGAATTGGATGGAACTAGAAAGGAAGGCTGAGGACAGAGTGGATTGTAGAATAGTTGTCAGCAGCCTATACTCCATTGGGGGTAACCGGCGTAAGGAAGTAAGTTATTTACATCTATAAATCATACATTAACTATCTAATAAGGAAATTTCTCTTCTTTTTTTCTTTTATTTATTAAAGAGATGCAGTACTACATCTGGTTATCTACGTTCACGTGCTATTCATTATGTTAATGAATATGCAATTCATGGTTTACGTACACTTGTATTCGCTAAACGTATATTACATAAATCTATTTATATGAAATTATTAGAACAATTCAAATATGCCTCTAGTCTATGCGATAATGAACGTATTCATGCATTAAAACAATGTTATAATGAAATTGAATTAGATATGATTCCAATATATGTTACTGGTATAGAAGATAAATTACAACCTGGTGTAAAAAATTGTATAAAAGCTTTAAAAGAAGCTGGAATACAAGTAAGTTTAGAATAAATATAATGAGTTTCTTTCACTAATTGAAATCATGAGTCAATTGGAGATAGACCACCATGGAAAATCTGAAAGCGCTTGACAGCCGTTTTGTCGTACTGTGAGACTCCTCAGCAATGCGCATCCACGATCCCACACCTCGCGAAACTCGAACCCACGACCTATCAGCCTCGGACTAGGCGTCTAACCAACTAGACCACTGAGCCGGCATCCGACGGTGTTAATGTCTAACTGCAACCAGTCCCATACTAGGACGAAACGTCCATCCAGTGCTTCCAGGTTAATCATGTCGATCTAGCTTCAACTGACTCATTATTTCAATCAGTGAAATTTCTAAAATCTCCACAAAGCCCCTTCTGATAATAATGAGTATCATTGAGAAATGATTGTTGCTATGCCGATTATTGATCATTCACTAATAGAATTAATCTTACCTCATCAGATTAGTTACTTTCAGATTGTAACAATATATTAAACAAAGATGTAGTCAAAACGGTTAACATTTTCATCTTAACCCATTTAATTCAGATGGGATATACAGCCAATATAGAGCAAACTTTCGCAATAATATATCATGTGAACAATAGTCTATGTAATTCTGTCAGACTGAGAATCTTGCAGACACAGTAAGAGGTGTTTAGTCTAGGTAATTTATCTTCCAACCTCGGAGTGATTATTGGACGTGTGGGAAATATTAGTTGTAGTTTATCTGAATTAAAAGTCTTTTTAACTGATCTGCTTTACTTCAGCCTTAGGATTTCATACGATGCATCGCCTCTGAATTGTAAGCGTATATACAGAGGCTTTTGATTCACGGCTAAGCATTCTCTATGCTCTCTTTTATTGGCTATATTGTTACTTATAAATTTCTCGGGAAATCCATTTTCTTTCAGGGTTCTGTATAATCCCTTTGTTTCATCTTCCACCGTATCTAGAGAGCATATGGTCTTGGTTCTATGATGCAGTGCCTTAATAAGGTTCCTTTTGTATTACAGAGGAACAAAACTAAGAAAGTTTGTATATTGGCCCGTCCAATTCGTTTTCTTCTTTATGTTTCTTTTTAGTGATCCGTCTTTTCTCCTTATAAGTAGAACATCTAGAAAGGCTATTTTACCCGTATTTTCCTTTTCACATGTGAATTTTATGAACGGCTGAACTGTATTGAAACGCTAGAGTGTTTCAATGAAGTCCGTATAGTTGTTACAAAGGATAAATGTATCATCCATATATCGGCAGTAAAATGTCTATAGATTTCACCATTGAATTTGAAATGTACATTCATAGTACATTTTTAGTAATAATTGTCGTTTCTAGTTTATGTTCTGTAAGTTGTTCACAAATATATTCTACAGTTTCTCTGAGTGGAACATTTGTGAACAATGACGTTACGTAAAAAGACATCATCGTTTGACCTTTCGTATTTATGTTTTTAATCTTGTCAACGAATTGGAATACATCCTTAATACTATGCTTCATTAGGTGTTTGTGCAGTGGTTTCAAAACGGTTACTAACCACTTTGCTACAGTATGATATGAGGAATCATACATGTCCAAAATTGGTCTTAATGGAATATCCGGTTTATGTACCTTCGGCAGTTTGTATAACCTAGATAAATGCTTACCTATCGGCTTAATTGTTTCGTATATGCTTAGTGGAATCATCTTTTGATCTCTGAGCTTTTTTAAAGATCTGGTCAATTCATTCTCTATCTTATTAATAAAATCTTTTTGGTTATTCAGTTTCTGAAATTTTTGGTGATCATTCAAGATGTTATTCATCTTGTCAATGTAGTCTTTTTTTGTTAAGTAGAACAGTTCATGTTCCCCTTTATCAGGTTTTGTGAAAATCAGATTTTCGTCATTATTGAGTTCATTGATGGCCTCTTGGTGTTTTTTTAGTTAAAATACTTCTGTAGTTATATCTACTATTGTTAAACTGATAGCAGTAGTCAACTAGGTTTGATTTCAAACGTTCAAGTTCTTGGTCAGAGGTCGGGACTAGATCTTGCGGACGTCTGAAGCAATTAGTATTCGGATAGAAAATCTAGAGCTTTGAATCTAAAAGAAATATGTTCAGCTGCTCCTTTTACCTTGGCCAACTTCGGGGCCAAATAGTTACTAATCGATTTTATAATATGATGATGTAATTTGATTATTGTTCATTTTATGTTATTGATGGAGTTTTGTTCTTTAAGCTGGATGGTTTAGTCATGGAGCTTTCATCGTTCCTCTGAACGACATCATCAGTACAGACTTCAAGTAGAAGTGAAGTGTTCGAATTTTTTCATGTATGGTTTAAAACTTGTCCTGTATACCTCGATGTTGATTGGTTCTTGTCGACTTTAAGCCTGTCATTATTTATTACTTTGTTTTGGTTGTGTCTCCCAATGGGAGATTATTATTATTACACTTGCTAATCTTTTTGAGAAATTTATTTAGCATCCACCCCTATCTACTATATCTGACCTAATTCATATTATTCTACATATTACTTAATTTCTGATTTGTAGTTCCATTATCCTCTACCTCTGTCACTCATCCCATGTTGACTATATTTATTCTAATCATTATTTATCTGAATGAGTTTTGTGGAGAATTTTTAGGAAATTTCACAGGTTGAAATCACGAGTCAGTTGAAGCTAGACCACCATTGAAAACCTGGAAGCACTGGACGGCCGCTTCGTCCTAGTATGGGACTCCTCAGCAGTGCGCATCCACGACACCGCACCACGCGGGGCTCGAACCCAGAACCTACTGGCTTCGCGCGCGAGCACTTAACCATTAGACCACTGAGCCGGCATCCAACGGTGTTAATGTCTAACTTCAACCAATCGACGAAGTTGCCCCATCGAACACCATTGTCTTCAGTGAGCTGATATCTCACAACAGACCTGGTTGAACTCCAATGGTGACGGCTTCTCACTAGAACTCCAGGAGGTTCTCCTGAAGTCAGTCACTAGCGAGCAGTTGATTATTAGAATGAGTTTTGTGGAGAATTTTTAGGAAATTTCACAGGTTTAAATCATGAGTCAGTTGAAGCTAGACAACTATGGAAAATTTGGAAGCACTGTATGGTTGTTTCATCGTAATATGGGACTTTTCAAAAGTACGTCTCTATGATCTCGTATAAGAGACTTGAACTCAAGATCTTCAGTCTCGCATGTGAACACTTAATCTCTAATCTCATACTAAGACATAGCAACTATTCACTACACTTGGTATCGTTTGGATTGTATCTTCCCATTGAGGTTTAAGACTGCAACTGATCAGTCTGTTATTGGCATTTGTGCATACTGTGAGTATGCCTCGATAGTGCATTAATTCATAAGCTTTTTGTAAGCAATGATGGATAACGCGATGGCGTTTGAAGGGAATGATACTGGGTTCGAGTTCCAGAATGATCATCAACTCTGAGATGCAAGTACATCTAACTGATGAGTCTGAAATAGGACGAAACGCGTGTCCTGGATTCCACTACTTCTAAGTTTTCAATAGTGATCTAGTTTAAATCTTCACAAAACTCTTTTATCATCTATCTCTTTTTTTTAATTATTTCTCTAGATATGGATATTAACTGGTGATAAAGCTGAAACAGCAATTACAGTAAGTCAATCTATTGGACATTTTACATCGAATATGTCATTAATAAGAATAATGAATTGTCAAACATTACAATCAACAGCATATAAAATTTATGAACAATTAGATGCATTATATACATATCATAATTATCATAAACAAAAACCTAATCATCATTCTATATTAACAATGCCAAGAATTAAAACAATAAATTATAATAGAAATTCATTTCATATATCCTCCGCCTCCGCCTCCTCCTCCTCCTCATCATCATCATCATCCACTTCAAGACCATCTTCATGTATGGATGGACAATACAATAATAATAATAATAATACCATTAGTAATAGTAATGGTAATAATAATGATGTTTATTATTATGGTACAAATGAATTCATCTTCAATAAGAAAGATTGTATCATTAGTCGATATATAAGACGAAAGCATAAAAAGCATCCTGGTATGGCAAATGAATCAATTGGTCTTGTTATTGATGGAAAAAGTTTACAATATGCATTACATGTAAGTAATTTGTTTGCTGGTTTTGTTTTTAATGGTATTTTTCGGTTTACTCTTATTTAATTGTTTGTTTACTTGAATATAGAAAGATTGGTAGAAAGGCGGCACAGAATGCATATGCACTACACAAGTCACTTCATACTGTGATACCGTCACTTTGATATTGTTCACGTGATCAGAGCGAAGAAGGTGGTTATCTTAGGGGGTCACACCTGGAGCCTTCAACCTAAAGATCTGGATCCACAAGGCAGTGGTGCAACGTCAGAAGATACAGTTCCATGGTAGCCGATGACCAACAATAGGTTCATATGCCACTCGTTCCACCAGGATCTTTGAGGCCTATGTGCACCACAGATTTGGATTCAGGGTTTTCCAACTCCCCTAGGTGGATCCTTCGTATCTACCAGTTCGGTCAAATCGTTGGACATTCGCTTTTCGTCTTCTCAATTTCGTAAATAACTATTTGGACACAAGAAGGCAATGAGTAGTATAATTTAAATAAACAATCATTATTATTATTATATTCATATTGATAAACTAATACACACATGTTATCTCATGCTCAACCAGTAAACAACTATTACTGTGAATAAACAAGAGTGTTTAACTCAATTTAACCATTCAAATGTTCATTATGTAGTTAATTTATCAACCAATTATTCATGATCTGTTTTAGTGTCAGTTTAAAACGAATAATGAAATTATCTTTGTGTACTGCCTTCCTTAACCAACATACACTATAGCAAAGCACTACATCACATCCTTCATTTGTGTTCATTTAATATCTATAAACATATATAACCGTATTTTTGAGTAATTCATTATATTCTTAGTGCTGAATGGATGTTATCTTAATTGAAATCCAACATTATAGTCGGGATTATTGTTTTAACTATATCCTTCATGAAATCACTATCTGAAAGCTATTTGATTCATCTTTAAAGCATAATTTAACTCATTTCTAAGCATTATGGCGTATGCTACTTATGTCTTCCTACATAAGTAGTATATCACACAAATCGGAAGTGGAGAATTCAGCAGCACAAGGCTAAAAAGATCAAGTTGAGAAAAAAATACTCATGAAAATAAAAAGAAATTATGAATCGGAAGGATCATGCGGAATGTAACGACCGAACCGCCAATATTCAGTTTGAACGTAGAACTAACGAACCAAAATTTATTCGATTAAACCAGACTACGTTCTTCTGCATAGCCCTACGAAGCGTTTTTGAGTTACTCGTATTAAATTATATCAGAACACAAACTCTGTGCTCAATTTAAAGGGTTCTAATCTAGATAATAGAACAAATTATATCAGTAATACAAAATACCTCAAACGGTCCGGCCTTTGCTATACAGTCAAAAGTTTCTCTAACACAAATTAGCGTGCTAAACAACGAAAGGAACAGTTGATACAAAAGAGTTCAGTACCTAAGAATCAATAAAAATATTCCCAACAACATGGGATCAGGTATCTATCTGCAGGGATTCCATCAATCTTTCCAAGCAGACAGTCAAAGGTTAATAATCACATACTGAACCACGCCATGACCTTGAGCTTACTCAAACACAACCTCACTGTCAATAGTCCAACAACATGCAATAAAAAATTAGGTAACAAAGGGTAAGTCTTTAATCAAAATCACATAATAAAAGGTCGGATGAGGAAGAATGAAAAACAAAAGGGGCGGTTAAAAGCGATCTCAACAAAGGTTAAAATACAAAACAGGGAGAATATATAAATAAATGACTACTGTTCAACAAAATGCTGTGGAGGGATTTCCAGCTTTTTTTCCCGTTACAGAGAATATGAAGGACAATTGATGGAAGATTTGCAAATGAAGCATTATATGCGCGGTTGTCATATTTTACAGAGATATTCCTGTAATTTTGCATGAATTAGTAAATTGGTCTTTCCCAACAGAGTTCTCGTTCAATACAGTATCACTACAAAGGTTTGATTTGATGATTCCAAGTAAAGTAAACATTGAGTAAATTGTCCGTAACAATAAAAAGCTTATAGGAATCGTGGACCGTTTATATAACCATCGAAACCTACAAGCACTAGACGGCTGTTTCGTCTTAGTATGGGACTTCTCAGCAGTGGTCTACTGGTTGAGCGCTCGCGCGCAAGACTGACAGGTCGTGAGTTCGAATCTCGCGGGGGTCGGGATCGTGGATGCACACTACTGAGGAGTCCCATACTAGGACGAAACGGTCATCCAGTGCATTCAGGTTTTCCATGTCGGCCTAACTTCAAATGACTCATGATTTCAATTATTGAAATTATTAAAATCTCCACAAAAAGTTTTCTGATACTAATATATTTCTCATGGTTTTAAGAGAAGACTCCACAATGTGAAATTTAACCAATTCTGTAAGGTTGTAACACTTCAGTTTAATTTATCTTAACGGATTTTACGGTCAGTGAACAGTCCTGATGCTTATATGTTAAGTGCAAGCTCAAGCCAACACGCACTAATTGGCCAGTTTTTGAGAAATCCCTATAAGTGGTTTATTATAGAATTTTCTCTTTTGAGTCTGTTGTTGTTTACTTATCTTTGCTCTGATTTGAGAGAATTCCATGTAGTACAATAACCGGGAAATACTAGTCAATTGAGGATGTAAAACAAACAATATAAAGTCCGTTACCCTGTCAGTGTGAGAACCAAAAGGAGAGCTGATTGAGGCTAGTGTTACAAGACCTTTAATGCAAATGAATTTTAGCACATTAACTCCCTACATTTTAGAACTTATCACTAGTACTGATAATCTATAAGGGCAAGGTGATTTGTGCAATTTTCCAGATGGTGATCTACTATAACTTCTTCCTTCCTTTGTGAGCTGAAAACATCACTGAAGATGCTTCGTGCCAGAAGGAAATACCTTACTGTTATCACACTCCAGTTCAAATGATCGTAGGACTCCACCCTCGAGTTCTATCTTACCACTCTTCAACTGACTTGTTTAGCATTAGAAGACCTCAGTGAAAAAAAGTTTCCTGATCAGTATAGGTTGTTTAAGTAGTCACAAAGGGGAAGATCTGATCATCTTGTCAATAGAGCAGGTATAATCGAGATGACAATATCTACTGTTCGAATGAATTGTAATACTTAATACTTATATTTAGTGTGAATTCATTTCGTAAGTGACGTTTAATCCATACACACTATGATTGAATACATTATTTGTTTCATAATCTTGATTTCTTTTGTTAGACTTCAGTACGTGATGCATTTCTAGAATTATGCATGAATGTTACAACAGTGTTATGTTGTCGTATGACACCACTACAAAAAGCATCTCTTGTTAAATTAGTTCAAATTGGTTTAGCAAAACATACACGTTATGGCATGAAACCAGTTATAGCTGCAGTTGGTGATGGTGGTAATGATGTAGCTATGATTTTACAAGCTAATATTGGTGTTGGAGTCTATGGAAAAGAAGGTCGTGAAGCAGTTAGAGCGGCGGATTATTCAGTGACACAGTTCAGGTAAGTTTTAAAAGTATCTAATGCTTAAATTAAAGAATTGTAATAATATTGGATACTAAATCAGAGAACTGGACGTTAATTTCTTACTGAGGGCTATTTAAGTCCTGGGTCCGATCTCTAGCAGAGTAATGAATGGTCACTGTCTAGGAGTTCCATACTAGGAAAAATGGATGTTCAGCAACTCTGATTTAATTTGTGATACCTCGAATCGACTACTGTATGGTTACATAGGTTCTCAACACTATTTGATGGTCTTTGTGTATATGTGGATTGTTCACCACCAACATATTTTCCTGATTTCCTCTTCAACTGAATGCTAGTTTGTATTCTGTCACAACAGGTTGTTGCTAATAGTATCCGGTCAACAGACTTTGTGCATCTTGCATAGACAATTGTTTATAAGTACCTGTACATTTTTGATGATGGTTATGGTAGTAAATCTTCAAGTTTCAGCTCTGAACTTTGTATTGACATAAGTTACAAACTATGGATGAAGATTTTCGCACGAATAAAATTGTTTATTTTTGTACAATTGTGGTGTACTACTGATGTTGATAGATATAAGTAGCATGTATTATCAATCGAAAGTGAAATATCTGGAGGCAGAAGGTTAAAGAAGATTAGAGAAAAGAGAATAATTGGTTTGAAAACGAAAGAACAATAAAGTCTGAGACGATTGACTGACGTTATGCAAATGAAGTATTTACTGTATGGTTTTCAGATTTTACTAAGAGATTTTGAAATGAAGTCGGTTCTTGATTTTATTTACCACAGAGTAGATGTGAGAAAACTACATTCTGTGAGATAATTTGGGGATATCTTTGAAAAGTGTTGGAGGTATAATTAACTTAAGTTGATCTAAGGAAACATGGCACTTGATACTGAACACTAGTAAATTCGGTTTGACGCACCATATTATGCGACCATCCACCATTGTCTTCAATGAATAATTGCCTCACAACAGACATGGTTGGACTCCACTGGATCGATTAAAGTTAGATATTAACACTTTTGGATACCGGTTCAGTTGTCTAGAAGTTAAGCGTTCGCGCCCGAGACCTGGGATCGAGTACCATGTGCAAGACCGTGAAAGCACACTGCTGAGTCCCATGCTGGAATAAGCGGCCATCTATTGCTCCCAGGTCTTTATTTATGATTGGTTCATAATATCAACAAAATTCAACAGTCTCTACAACCTCAAACTGAAAACTCACTAGCATTTTTACGGGAATATTCAAGCTGCTATGCGCTTTGAATATGAAATCACTCTCAGCACAAGTGAGAGTAAACTAAATAGCGCAAAATGAACTAACAGTAAATTAGGTGATAAATCTTTTAAATGGACGCTTTAGTCGGTTCATTAATCTCTTCTAATAACCCCAGACTTAATCTAAATGACAACTTGAACGTGAAGGAGAAAGCGAAAAATGTGAAAGGAACACTTTACTCCAGCGTTAGTTTATTTATAGAAAATCGAGAGTATTTATAGTATTTAAGATAGTCTTAGAGTTCTGGAAGATCCTGAAACCCTACTGAACATAATAGTAGGATATGTATTCATCCAGTCAAAAATGTGGCACATGATCTCACTTTCTAGATGTTTCTGAGAGACGTCTATTCAATACCGATCAGATGGAGGACTCCTCTGTGCTTTTTTCAAAGAATAATTAGGATATTCCTAACATGAGGAATACTAGATCGTATTACAATAGTTTATAGATCCATTGAAAGCTTACAATATGGAGAATCTGGCAGTAAAGTTATCTCATTGTTATACGATAAAAGTATAGATAATGGCAAAAGCCTTTAAATTAGTATCAAGAGTTAAACTTTATTTGATATTCCCCCCCCAACAAAAACGATCACGATCTTCAGAATAAATTATTGCAACTGGAACTTGACTGGAACACTGAAAAATTTGTACATTATTTATGAGATTATTGAGATCATTTGGAATAGGCGTAGAGGATTAATCAAATAAAATCACTTCTGTAAATCTTATGTGAAACTTCATCTGGAACCCTTCTACGGTTACTGTAGATCTCATGCAAGAATAAAGATAGAGATCTGGACATAAGATTAGCACCGTCATGCCACAGGAAGCGACCTTGTTAAAAAGATGCTAAGATGAAAAAAAAAATTTATTTTCATCATTTAAATTCTGCTCTGCGATTTCAAGGATCATTATCTAGAAGAATAATGATGCTTTGTGGTGAAAGCTCAGATTCGTTCTATTTAAGACTCGTCAGCTGAATGTATCTGCATCTCAGAACTGTTGATGTTCAATCTGGGACTCGAACCCAATACCTTTCGCTTCAAGCGCCATAGCATTATCTACTTACCTACTGAGTTTTAATAGTCACTTGCTTGTACAATGTGATGAAGTTTAAATCCATTTGGTATTGTTTACTTGAATCTTCTTATTGATGTTTAGGATTGTAATTGATCAGTCTCTTATTGGTATATTGTTATAATGATTGGTTTTCCACGTTTACACTTATGGAACGTTAATTCACCTTAGAACAAATATCTACGCCAGATTCCCTCCCAGTGTCTATTCTACAGGACTTCAACACAACTCAGATCAAGAACATGTGATTAGCCTGACCCCAGCGTAAATATATTTCCACAAAAAAAAACCCGACACAATCCAACAACAATGAACAATCATTATTAATAATAATAAGGATAGAGGGAACATATAACTCATCTGACACCTGTCAGAATATATACATGTTTGACTAAGCAGACAACTAATCATTATCATTCTCGCCTACACATCATGTATGTATATACTGTATGGATTGCCTTAATATTGCCTTTATTCACAAGCATTATAATCAAAGATGGATAGTGGATTAACAGTGGATTCCAGTTTGACTCACGTTTCGTTCTATTTAAGACTCATCACCTAAATGTATCTGTATTTCAAAGTTGATATTCACTTTGAGATTCCAACCCAGTATCATTCACTTCAAACATCATTGCGTTATCGATTTAGCTACTGCTTCCTGATAGTTATCTGTTTGTACAATAAGATGAAGTTTAACTTATATCTTCTTATATATTGTTTAAGAGATTATTAAATTTCCATTTATATCATGAAGAAAATCCATATTAGACTACTATTGAATACTTAAAAGTATTGAATGTACTTGTATAGAACCACTTGACAATGTATATACATGATCTATGAATCTTAGTAACTGTTCATATCTATAGAAAGATAGAAACCCCCACCACCACCACCACCATCACTACCACCACCACCACCATCACTACCACCACCACCACCCTCCATCACCCCCCTATTTTATTTCATTCTTTTTTTTCTTTTTTTCTCTTTTTTATAGACATATTCAACGATTATTTTTATTACATGGACATTGGTCATATTATCGTATAACAATAACTATGTTATTTTTTTATCATAAATCTGTTGCATTTGTATTTAATCAATTATGTTTTATTTATTTTAATGGTTATTCAGAAATTCCATTATTTAGTACCATTTTATTTATATGTTATAATTTAACAATGACATTTTTAATTAGTTTAGGTTATGGAATGTTTGAACGTCATATTAAAGAAAAAATTTTATTAAATAAACCATATTTATATAAAGAAGTAAGTAAATAATATATTTTTTATAGATTATAAGATTATTTTATAAAGATTATGAAGATTATGAACTGATTGGATGGGTGTTTCGTCCTATTTTGAAACTCTTCATCAATGTGTATTCATGATCCTGCTCTGTTGGGTTCGAACTTAAGACTTGTTAATCTCACATGCGAACAATTAACCTACTAAACCATTGAGTCGGTATTCAATGGTGTTAGTGTTTAACATCAACCAATCCATGATATTGTGCGATCATAATTTATTAGAAAAAGGGATTCGAACTTAAGAACTTCAATCCTGTATGCAAATTTTTAAAGCATTCGACCAATCGGTATAGAATAGTGTTAATGGAATTCTTTAGAAGTGAGTATCTATGATCCTTCTCTGTGAGGTTCAAACTTAGGACCGATTAGTCTCACATGCGAACAATTAAATCTAGACCATTGAGCTGGCCAGCATACGACGGTATTAATGTCTGAATTCGACAAATTGATGAAATTGAGTCATACGTCCACCATTGTCTTCAGTGAGATACTATCTCACAACAGACCTGGTTGAACTCTATTGATCATGGATTCTCACTAAAACTCCAAGAACCACCTATTGAAGCTAGTCACAAATGAGCATATGATGTTTATTATCAGGAGAGGATTTTGTGAAGATTTTACTAATATAATAGTTGAATTCATGAGTCGATTAAAGTTAGACCACCATGGAAAACCTAGAAGCACTGGAAGGCAGTTTCATCCTAATTTGAGACTTCTCATCAGTTCGCATTCATCATCGCACTCAAGGGATTCCAACCCAGGATCTATCGGATTCATGCTTAACCTATAAAGCATCAAATTGACATAATATTCTATCTATTTACAATTCATATTGTTATAGTTTACTCAGTTTCTATTCATTATTCTTTATTCATTTTCAATTAGATATCACATCAAGCAAATTTAAGAGCATGGTATATTCTTTTATGGGTTCTCGATGGTATATGGCATGGTGTTGTAACATTTTTTATACCATTTTTTTGCTTAGCTGGTGGTAATTTATATGCTGAAGCTATTTTCTATGAAACTAATAATAATTCATATAAAATTTATGATTTTACAATGATTGGTAATGCATCATTTATTTATTTATGGATTGCTGTAACATTACGTTCAACAATATGGACAAGAGATTTTAATCTGATGTTAATTATGTGTCATATTGGTACAACATTAAATGTTGTCATTTTATTCCTTTTTCAAGTAAGTTATTTAAGTTTATTACTTTCATTTTGATTAGTAATATATTCTTAGAATGTGAATATCAATTCTGAGATATGAGGGGACATCCAACTGTTGAGTCCTAAATAGGACGAAACATGTGTCAAACTGGATTGCACTGTTAGCCACTATCCTACTTTGGTTACTATACTTGTGACTTAAGGGAATATCGAGGCAATCTGTAAAGAATGCACCTATGCCAATAAGAGACTGATCAATTGTAATCCTAAACATTAATGGGAAGATTCATGTTAAATAATATCAAGTGAATTTTAACTTCATCCCATCGTACAAGCAAGTGATTATTGGGAGTAAGTAGGTTATTGGATAATGTGATGGTGTTCAAGGCGAATGATACTGGGTTCGAATCCTAGAGTGAACATCAACAATTCTGAGATGCAGATACATTCAGCTGACGAGTCCCAATTAGGACAAAATGCTCATTCTTTATTCCATTACTAACCACTATCTATTATTGCTTATGAATTTTGTGGCTTCCGACAATATCGAAGTAGTCCGTACAGCGTGTACATGTAACAATAAGAGACTGATTAATTACAGTGTTAAACATCGATAGGAAGATTCAAGTTAAACAATAACCAAGTGAATAAAATATTTATAGTTTTAATCCCGATGAACATTGAATACGCTTTGAGTGAATTGTCTTCGAGACAGTTCCAACGACATTGTATAAGCATTCGTCTTGATCACTATTATTAGATAACTCTTTATAATGTATAAATTTCAGAAGACAATATGAAGCATTGACTACAGTTTATTATTATTGTACAATGCAGATCATTAAGTTCTCAGTCACTAACACAAACTTTAAGCAGCAATTTCTAATGCAAGTGAACGTAATAGAGCGAGTACAGAGAGGATTAATGCGGCATATTAAGGGTTATATGAATTGAGAAGATTACAGGATTTACTACATATACGAAAGCGAATGAGTCGTCCAGCGATCTAGAAAGAGTGATATGTACGTGGGCTGTAACACATGTGATCAAGTACATATGTTTATACAGACAGGATCATAATATCAAGACATATAAATAGTTACCATTTGAATGACATAATTTGATACATAAACTGATCGAAAGGCTTTATAGGAGCTGACATACATTTAAGTTTGTTCATCACATTTAATTTGGTTAAACCGTTTTGTTAACTTATTTAACGGATAGAGTCATCCGTACAATAACAACAACTTAGCTTATATCATTGTACCTTTATTATTATCACACTTGTATGAATATATATATATACTTGAACATTGTGCTTACTGCCTATGCATATATTCATTCTGCTAGCCTTACTATTAGTTGCTTAATTGATTCGATGATTTATTCATTTCCCTATGTATATGTATAGATATGCACTTTTTAATCTTATTCATTCGACTCGCACGCTGAGTTGCTTGCTTCATGGCACTAGCTTTTCATTCTTAATCCGTGTGTGGTGTAATAATAAATGTGATCAACACTTCGTATTCGCCTTCTAATTTATACACCAGTTGGAGGTGTTATCTAGTAACGGTTATCAGGTTGGACAGTATACAAAATTTAAGGATTATATTGAATACTGACCACAATAGCTTGACGAAATGAAACGTAAAGATTTAAGGGCAAGACTCTAATTTATGGACGACCTTTCAACGAATCTTAAACGATAATGAGAAATATTAGCCAATCAACAATCAGTCAGTACTGAGTAAAATATATTATACAAAACCATGGAAATAAAATGGATACACTTCTTTTACATGGTTTTAAAACTTGTCAAGCTTAGAAAGATGTTCAGAGGATCTAAAATCGTAATACGTGCAGTAGAGGAAATCATCCATACACCTACAGAATAGTCGGCCTCTGGAGTCATGATAAAGTCTCAAATACTATTTCAGCCTCGACCATGTAGCTTCGCTATTGTTTGTGTGCACTCCGATTGTTGAGTACACAAAATGCCACTTTTGGATAACGACACGATGCACATAACCAAGCTCATGTAAGAGTCTGTACGCTCTCCAAGCATCCTTATATATTGTAGTGCCTGTCTGCAACCAGTGTTACTGGTGCTTTTATTATCGAGTTTGCAATAATTGTCATAATTTGCCTTAGTTAGGAATTACATACAGTGTTTTCATCACGAACTGACATCAGCTATAATGCCAGAAATTTGTTTAGCCAAATGGATGAAAGGATTTCGCGTTAAAATCCAAGATCTATTATCTTATACCTGATTGATTCGTCCACAAATTATAGTCTCGCCATTTTATTTGTTATAGCCGCTGAATTATCACGTTTTGTATAAAATTCCCTGTGAACCGATCATACGTTAGCATTAAGCACTGAAGTTGGCGCCGTAACCTTGAAATCTCTAAAACGCTTATGATTGACTCATCCATAAATTACAGTCTCGCCGGTTTAACTGTAATTAAGACGTTCTAAACTTATTATGTCCTACTTTATCGCAACAACCTCACAGAACTATTTAAGATTCAAGACGGTATGCTATGGGTACTCGCTTACATGTTACATGTTATCGAGTATTCTGGTTAACAGTGTTTTTTGTCATCACAAGTCAATTTTTGTAATGTTTGTGCTTATTACATAACTTTTCTTCAAATTAATTAGTAGTTTGACATAGCTGTTACTCATTACCTAAGTGAATGTTAAGTCAGCTTAATGTAAACTTAAACAAGTGAAACTTCACAAATCTAGAACTGTTAAGTTCTGATTATTACGTCGTTCTTTGAATCTGATTAACAAAGATAAGGAGGTTTAATACAATAATTGGTATCTCAAATTAAGTTACAAAGTAACAATCAATCTGAAATGTACACTACAAATTAGAGACAGTTAAATTAATGTTGTATACAATGATTTTACTGCATTAAAGGACTATTTAAATATGAGAACATTTACAATTCATACAACATAATAAGCATTCAACAAACCTATAACAATTGAAATATAGAATAGCTACCTCATTGTAAGCCGTTCATGGTCATTGGAATGAAACGGTAGGCACCTTTGAGTGTGTATACCATTTTCTACCATCCCTTAGAAGATTGATTCATTTGAATGAAAACCTTTCTGTGTATAATTATGATTTCAATTGATCTTGGAAGTTATACAAAACAAAAACAGTTACCAACAAAAAACAAATACTGACAAATTGAAGCATCAATTATCACCGTTCAATTTAAAGATAAAGCTGAATAATTCAATAATCAGAGAAGAGTTTTTATGGATATTATAGTAATGTTATTAGTTGAATTCATGAGTCAATTGAAGCTAGACCATCATGAAAAACCTGGAAGTACTAGATGGTTGTTTCGTCCTAGTATGAGACTCCTCATCAATGTCCATCCATGATCTCGCCTCGCAAGATGCCTCGTATGTGTAAACTTCTGAGGAGTCTCATAATAGGACGAAATAACTGTCCAGTAATTCTAGATTTTCCATGGTGGTCTAGCTTTATTCAACTCATGAATTCAACTATTAACTGTTGGGGACGTTAGATCCTCAAAACGCATATTTTGTAATTTTATCTTTGTGGAGCTTGTATGCACATGTATGCTTGGGTATTTCTCACCACTCACGCACACAATCGATTGACGAACTTATTGATTAAATGTTTAAAAAAACTTCCATGGCAATATCGATTATAGATATTTTGTATAAATACGCTTGATTTGTGTGCTTGATGAGACTGGTATCTTCTGGTTGTCTGTAGAATACATTTTCTACATTTTATCAAGACTTCTAGATCGAGTTAGCTGAGTTGGGGATAACGAACCAGTATAGTCTATCGAGTCTCTGAATTCTTGATCCTTCATTTCGTTCCGAGTAATACGAATCAGTAGTAGCATTCAAGTTAACGAACATAACATTAACATTACTATAATCAATAATTCATTCAACATAATAAATAGTTACTATTTGGCTCCGACATTTTATAATAAAATTTTATTGATAGATTTTTCTCTTTTTTTTAAAAAAAAAAAGATTTCACTAAAATCCAGCATTAAAATCAATTGACGGTTCTCTTTCAAATAAATAAATATAAAAAATTTTTTTATTACAGACAAATAGTGAAAATATATGAATGATTGTTGCCATGGTAACTATGGTGGATTTAATAATTAATTAAAATGAATTATGATTTAATTGGAGAGTGTGAAAAATTACAATCAGTTAATAGTTTACTTAGAGGTTCACTTTTATGAGTAAAGATGGATAGTGGATAGCTGTGTAATCTAGTTTGATGCGCATTTTGTCTTATTTGGAACTCGTCAACTGGATGTACATACATCTCAAAATTAATGTTCATTTTGAGGTTCCAACGCAGTACCGTTCGCTTCAAACATCATCACGTTATCCACTTAGTTACTGACTCCGGATAACCACCTGCTTATGCGATGGTGTGAAGTTTAAATTTATTTGGTATTGTTTTACTTGAATCTTCCCATTGATGTTTAGAACTCCAAGTGAACAGTCTCTTATTAGCATATGTGCATACTGTGCGTATGGCCTCGATATTGCCTTAATTCACAAGAATTGTAATCAAAGATGGATAGTGAGTAGCAATGAAATCCAATTTGACGCATGTTTCGTCCTATATGGGACTCATCAGATGGATGTACCTAAATTTCAGGTTCATTGCTGTTTCTAATCCGATTATGTTATAATTTGAGATAATCATTTAACTATAATTTACACTTGATTAACTGAATAATTAAGATTATTTCAGGCTTATTTGACAAAATTTCATTGAATGTTATTACAATTGAGTGATATTTTAGAAAGACCAGCTTAGTTTTTACATGCAGATTATGCTAATCTCTGCAAAATCTCTCAGATAGATTGAAATCGTGTGTTCATTAAAGATTTACTTGAAGACAGAGTTTTTCTGTGCGTTTCGACCTTCTATCACAGTTCTAGATGTTACCGTCAAGCTATTAGAACCTCAGATTTTAAACAGTGCTGTAACGAGCTGGAATTCCTGTAGTAGGGATTATTTCCTTCAACATTGTATGTAGGTAAATCTTGCTACTGTAGAGTGATGACTATCACAAAAATCTAGGTACAGGATTTTTTAATGATCATCTCTCACCACCTAAGTTCTAAGCACAAAGCAAATGATCTCAAGTCTCTTGTACTAGAGGTTGCAATACAACTCATTCTATTAAATTCAATCAACACTAACGACTAAACAAGCAATACGTTTATCAGTACTGATCAATTTGTCCCTATGAAGATGGAGATCCTGAAGTTTTAGCAAGCAAGCAATGTTTATTGTATTGATTCAATAATGATAAGAGTAAGAGGTTTAACACAATGGATTATAAATGACTAATACCATTATATTATTATGTAAGTGGGATCAAAAATATGAACCTTAAGATCCTAAGTTAGTTATCTTTCGGTTAACTTGATGAAGCAATAATAATAACTATTTGAGTAACAAATATCGGGTTCAGTTTTTAGACACCCGTGGATCTGACTCCAATCAGGGGAATTGGCTTACCAGCCATCTCTACTACGTGTCATTTTGCTTTGTTCTATTACTTCACTTTACATACAAAATATATATATCCAAAGGCCATTCTCGTTAATTGACTTATCTAAATTCCGTTATTGACTAACGCGATTTGAGTCGATGATTATATACGACGATAGGTGATAACAAACATTCATACAATCTAATTGGAGTCAGATCCACGGGTCTCAAAAAGTTCAACTTCTTTGATCCTTTTATAGATAATCAGTTAGTTGTACTATTTCAATGAACAAAATGTTATAGACCTAGTGATACCTCCTGAAAGAAATGACGTCTCTCAAATATATATAAGATATTTCTTCAGAAATATGTCTGTTATGGTAGTGGAATCGCTTGTAATTGTCGTTTTCTTGTTTGAATAGAATACTTATATGGTAATCATTTTCATCTTGAAAGTGAATCTTAACATTTACCCTAAACAAAAATTTCTTGAGAGAAGATGGTGGTTAGAGGTAGTCAAATTCTATCAACTAGGGTTTTCTGTCGATTACTTTCAACAGCCATCTTATCTCAACATAGTGCATCCAAGGTCGAATCACCTAGACTGATGACCATATTGCATCTTGGTCGATAAGATTCGATCTACACTAAGAAGGACTTGATATACATGACATTGATCACCACTCAGTGATCAATTAGTTGTATATAAACATTTCTATAATATAAAATAGGAATTTCTACTATTCTAATGAGACCTAATCATAACAACCATTGTAAGTATAAAAGAACAAGGGATCTATTTGTTTTATCATTGGAATTGATATTACAGTGTTGATCTCATCTAGATGGGAGAATAATCTATGATGTATTCAGAGTGAATTCATCATTTAGCTCATATTGGAACACTTCTTAGCGTATGTTAGAACAAAGAAGATAGATTGAGATTTCTTAAAATGCTTTCATAAGACAAGTTAGTAACATATTCCATCATTTCAGTCCTTACTAGTTAAATTTGCTCTACAACATCTGCTTTATAATTAGATTAGATATCATAAACAATGTTTGATATATGTATATATCGGATATAACATTCTAAATATTATTATTTAAGTTATGAAATGACACAGGAAGTGTCACAAGACCAAGAAACGTTTTGAACTGCCCATTGTTTCATGAATATTCTTTACTATAATTTCTCTTTCTCCTGATAATCGACCGGATGGATCATGAAGACGTCAACATCTGAGGGGAAGCATGGAATACAGTGGACAGCTTGGATGCAGCTGGACGATCTAGACTTCACTGATGATCTGGCTATTATATTGCACACGCAACAACAAGTGAAAGAGAAAACGACCAGTGTGGCAGCAGCCTCAGAAGCAGTAAGTCTCAACACACACAAAGGGAAACACAAGATACTCTGATACAACACAGCATGCACTAATCCAGTCACAACTGATGGAGAAGATTTGGAAGATGTAAAAACCTTTACATATTTGGGCAGCATCATTGATGAACACGGTGGATATGATGCAGATGTGAGGGAGTGGATCGGAAAAACAAGAGCAGCATATTTATAATTGAAGAACATTTGGAACTCAAAACAACTGTCTTTCAACCAACATAAAGTTAGAATTTTCAATACAAATATCAAGACAGTTCTACTGTATGGGACGGAAACTTGGAGAACTACGAAAGCCATCATCCAGAAGATACAAGTGTTTATTAACAATTATTTACACAAAAACTTCGGATTCGTTGGTCAGAGATTATCAGTAACAACCTACTGTGCGAAAGCGAACAATCCATATCCGAAAGGTGAAGGAAATCAGGAAGAAGCACTGGAAGTGGATAGAACACACATGAAGGAAAACACCTAACTGCGTCACAGAACAAGCCCTCTCATGGAATCCTTCAGGTCAAAGGAGAAGAGAAAGACCAAAGAACACATTCCGCCGAGAAATGTAGACAGATATGAGAAGAATGAACAAGAATTGTATAGAACTAGAAAGGAAGGCTGAGGACAGAGTGGGTTGGAGAATGGTTGTCGGCAGCCTATGCTCCATTGGGGGTAACCGGCGTAAGTAAGTAAATAAGTAATTTACCATTCTTTATAATCAGTGACTTTAAGTAAATGGATTTCCTTATTTTATAGTGATATGAGCAGTCAGAATAAAAAGTCTATACTGCGACATTTTAGCTAGGATTTAGTCCTAATGACCATCGATTTGTTCATTACATAACATTGCTGAAATAGCTCATTAAGAGTTCTGTATAGGATCTACATCTAGACTATCTTAAAGGTTTTTCTTCAATTCCATTTAGTCTTAATTAATTAAAAACAAACGGAAATATACAGTGTTTGATTAACAGAATACCTACATTCTAACGAGATTACCACTTTAAACTAACGTATATTTTGTAAATCTTTATCCCATCCTAATTACACAGACATTTGTTCCTTCTACAAGTAATGAATATCAAAGATATGCTCAATTATGTCGAAGTCCTGCATTTTGGTTCACATTCCCATTAACTGTTTTTATAGCCAATATTCCAGGATTAATTTGGCGTTTAGCTTCAGATACATGGTGGACTATACGTATTGAATTGAAAAATTCACCTAAAAAAAATCAGCGTAAATCTTATTTAAATAATCCATTAGTTTGGTTGAAAGCATTCGTTTTTGGTCAAACAGAAGAAAATGAATCAATCCTTCAGAAAAATGAAAATGAAATAAGCACTTTTAAAGAACAAATAAACCTTAGTTATCAGTCATAAAACATGTTATTGTTACTATGTGTATCCCTTGGATACAAAGAATAATTAGTTTATCTTGTGAATTTTTGCAAAACATGCAAACTGTTTCATTTAAAGAAAAGATTCATAATCTTGATCTATTTCGTTTTGTAACTAAATACTATGAATATACTTTAATTTCTTCATCAAGTGCAATAATATAAAGGCACATTGTAATATAAATTTCAGTTAAACTATTTACCTACTCATGAGTAAGCAAACTTTTATAGAAAAATTATTTGTTGCCTACCTTGATTATTATTATTAAAACCTGTTGTGTACAATGTGATTAATTTGATGAATCATCCCTGTACCTTTGATAAATTACACAAAGTGTGTGTGCTTTTCTAAGACGGTTAACATTTACCTATACATAATAAGTGTACAAAATATACTGCATGCATTGCTTGAATATGAATGATTTTGTTTGTATTGTGTTATGATGTACCAAATTTCAACAATTTCATGACAGTCACATATTGATACGATTATTATTGTCAGCTGATTTTGATAATGTTTACCTGGCTTCAAAAGAAAAAAAAGACTAACTCAGAATGAAACGTTGATCCATTTTCAAAATAGCTGACTGATAACAATTTTATTTTTGTTTTAAATCATGTGCTCTACAAAGTTATCTTTATCACAATGATGTATGTGTGACTGAGATACATTTCATTTCTAACTATATTCAATGAGATAACTTAGTCTTTTTGAAAAATTCGACTTGGTAAATTTGATGCGGTAAAATGTCTCTTGATAACAGTCACTCAAGTTGTTTCAAGACTGACCTAATCGATCACTGAAATGCAGATGCCGATTTTCATCAGCGACGTTCAGTCACAACTCAATATAATAGCATTCCATAATGTTATGGTTTAAAAGAATTTGGTCATAATAACATAAATTATTACTAAATCGAGAGCAGAGAATTATAAGACAACTCAACTTGACTAGTTCATGAAATAAGTGAACCACCTAATTTATACTACATAGATCAAATCCACTAGTTGGTTGGTATAGCAACATTCCATTTACATGTTGGATCTCCGATGAAAACTATGAAGTCTGGTGACATGAAGAACATTTCGGGTATGTCCAAAGGCTCAACCTTGAATGTGAATGGTGAGAATGGATTATAAAACTTCAGGGTGATCCTTATCAGGAAGAACTATACCAACCAGATTGTGAGACTTGGTGCAATCACATAAATATAAGTGTCATGCATGAACATTCAGGTTAAAATATCCAATTTATTGTTTAATGCACAACCACACAGTGGTTTCGTAAAATGCGAAGACCATACATTATATACTTCATTTGAACATCTGTCAGTTGTCCCTCACAAATTCATCATTCCTTTTTTTGTTATTATAATTACTCTCTGCTTATGTTTCTACCCTCCTCGATTCGATCTTCTCAACCTTCTGCCGCCAGACATTCAACTTTTGACCGGTGTTACACACTACTTGTATCTGTCGACATAAGTAGCATACACCACACGTCTATAAAGAAACCAAGCGCATAAATATGCTCAATACTTTTAACGGCCTGTTGACTTCCACACAGATGAGATTTATGGATCTTAAAACATATCGTAGAGTAATTTTATCATATCAACCACAGCAAATCGCAAGTTATGATGTAGTTCAAACTTTAGAGACTTTTGTAGTATGATCATTAGAAGTATTGAAAATGATTCGCTTACTAAGAATTCCCTCAATTTAAGGCAGGTAAAACTAGATGAGCAAAATTTAACGTATTATATTCGGGATTCGTAGTAAGCTTGCAATCAAATACAAAGAGATCCTCAGTTAGTATAAAAATCACAGCCACCACGGCTTAAACGAGAACCCAGATTTCTTTAGTGTATTGTACGTCTTTTGTTTGGGTTTATCATGTGTATGTCAGGCTGTATATTGGATCAACTTTGTATAATCTATCATTATTACGACAATCGACAACGGAAATCGGAACAGGCTTACCTGGGTCATTGTCACGTATACGGCTTTTGTGTCTGACTTGCATATATATCCTAGATTTATCAGAGTTTTAGCGGACCTCTAGTAGACCGCAGAAAATTAGTTCCTCGATAGTACGCGACAACAGAAAATGTGCAAGTCACATTTTTTGATGGACATGCTTCCCTTAAGCACACTTCTGAGTCTCTTGTTAGGATGAAATGGCTTTTCAGTGCTTCCAGGTTTTTAATGGTGGTCTAGCTCAACTAGACTTGTAGTGACCTACTTTTGTCAACAGAACGCGATTGGTGTGGTGGAATTAATTATTTTTATAACCAATTGTACCGTGAATTGTTTTACCGTACTTTTTTGTTTAACTGTACCAAAATACATACATTCTTCCGTCGCTCGTGACCTTACACGGATTCGGTTACGCTCAGTAACCACACTTGTAACCTGGCACAACCGCTAACAAATACATCTCGACCACAGCCATCAACTGCATTCTGATATTTGGCCTTATCTTATCGGTTAACTGACACGTAGTCTTTATGTAGTGGTGATCATAGTCGATCTCAACTCGACGCCAAACTACAGACTTATGAATTCAATTAATAACATTACTACAATATCCACAAACCCTCATTCTGATTTCATAATTGTTTTCATTGCGTAATTCAACATAAAAGACTTCACCTAATTAGGTAATTTGTGCTAACTGATGACTCATTTATAATTGATTGAGCGGTTATTACAAATTTGAAATATAATACATCCGGCTTTGTTCAACTAGTCTTATGTACCTTAAATTGCACCACCTTGAAAATTTTTAACTATTAAACCAGTTTGAATACTTCTAATTATGATAACGACGACGTGATGGGGCCTGTTACTGATCAGATGGATATACGTTCAAAATCTGAAGCTTTCGAGGATTACATTGAATGGTTTGAATGCTGGAATATGACCAAGAAAGATATGGATGGTAAAATTGTGACTCATTTCTTACATCAATCAGAAAAGATTCCTACAGTTTACTAAAAAATTTTGCTATTTCACTTCATGCTATTTCACTTCATTATGGAGCTCTCTAAGACTTCTACTAAGTCATGTAAACGGTACAAATTCTGAATACCATGAAAGAGTGAAATTTCACAAAGTTGCTTGTCTTCGAATCCCAGATAAATGCCGCTGAGTGAAATTCCTGTAGTGAATTTCATGTCCATGTGCGTGATCGAGCAGTCGCTAAATCTCGAAATAGAGCTCATACAAATGCCAAAGTGTTCCTTCCAAGCTGCTACAAATGCGTTTATTAATTGTGAGGGAGTGCATGAAATTGACTCTCGGGATATCAAGAATTCTACCACATGACCTGTTGTCTTAATCCGACTCGTACCCAAGGTCATGCGTGTAGATGTCAACTTGGCAATAATCTCCATGTGGAAAAATTTATTCACTTAATCCATGTGCATTTCATCATGCTATATGCCTCAAGTTTGGTAAAAGGGGATATATGAAGTTGGATTGCAAAATTACTGTTCATTTCTTCGCTATCAATACTAAACTCTGTAGTTTGGATCATATTAATTTGAGTGATTCTAATAATCATATACTATCATTTTTTACTACTTTGACCAATTCACTTCATATTCAAAAATGACTGTATTTGTCCAGTGGTGTTTTTCATTTCATTTGAAGTTGTCAAAACCCAATGTTATAGTTAAGCCTAGTAGTGTTTCTGCTTCCAGTATTATTGGTCATAGACTTCCTATTATTGGGCGTTGTAATCTGTTGTTCAGAAACGATAAATCTTCAATCTTAAATTGTGAATTCCTCTTCACTGATTGTGGACCATCTACCTTGAACCCTGAAAATCTAAGAATTATCCAGGGACAACTTTCCTTACTGACCACTGAAGGTAGTTCTGATGAAATGCTTGATAACCTGTTGACTACAGAATCGAAGTGTGAAGATTTGAGCACTACTTCAAAGCCTTATAATTCTAACGCTTAAGCAGAAAATTTCATGGAGTAGTTTTACCTGTTCTAAATTGCACTATTTCAAGAATTCTTAGCGAGTCCGTTTGAATACGTCCACTAATCTTACTGCGCTCTTTTGTATAGCTTTGAACTATGCAGCAGTAATACATTTGGTTGTTTATTCACTACACAATGAGAGAAGTTATTATATTTCTTCATTTATGTCTTTCACACCTACATTTTGTTTATTTTCCGTCACAACTCATAATATTTATCTTCACATATTTGTGCATACCAGTGATAATAAGGACGCAAAAGTTGACTTTAACCAGTATGTTCACTGGGTGGTATATACTCAGAATTTTACTAATCTGTAAGCATATTAGATCAGACTTCACAAATCGTATTAAAACAACACATATAAGCGAACAATTGTTTTCAATTAGATTGTATTAACACTCATTAGTGTTTTCTCTGAATAATGTTCCATAAACGTGGTCTTTTTTAACAGGAACTTTTATCCATCACGTTTATTTCGCATTAGTCTGTATCAAATAGTTGAGCCTCTGTTGGACCACGACTGTAACACAGGTAAGTCGTGAAAAATTCAAAAAAAGGATCTAGTTCTTTTACAATTCCTTAATTCTACTTGGATTAGAGATAATATACAATCTTATCTCAAGCCATAGTAGAGCGATTATTCAGAAATAGCGTTCTTCATTAGGCTTTATAAGATTTAAGTAGTGCTGGTATGCTTATTTTTATGTGTTAATAGAATTTCTAGCTCTTGAAAAAAATTTAACCAGCGTTGTAAGTAACATTAACCTCTCAAACATCTTCTGGATCTTCATTGGTGGTTTCTTATTCTCTTAAGTTCCGAGATATCTAGTCAGCATGAAGTCATCCACTGATTTAACAACAGTATGTTAAACTAGAAGAGAAACCTAACGAGGATTGTTACATCAGGGGATCATGTGCCCTTTCCTATTGTTGAAAGCTGATAATAATACTTTATTCCCTATAAACCCTAATGTGGTGATTTCATTTCAGAAACCATAAAGCACTTTATACATCTTACTTTTGTTAATCTATATAGAACTGATTGAAAGCACTATTCATACTTTCAAACTCTAATTATTTGCTTCGTTTGAGACATAATTTACTTAAACATTTCACATATCTTTACAGTTACAAGATTGACGGTTTATAAAGCAACGGTTTGTTTGATGTTTGAAGATACGAAGTATTATGCGATAATTTTATTTTTGCCAGATGTTCCGTTTACAACCTATCCGACGTTAAACTAAGAGAGGGTGTCTACTTGTACTAAAACTAATACAATAGGGTTACCGATACTGATACATGAGTCCAAAGTTAAATGACAAAGTACAGCAAATTAATTTATTCATTTTTAAATGGTTCAAATGGTTGTGGACGGAATAGAAGAAGTTTTGACTTAACAGGCCTCCGTGTCTAGTAGCAAGGGATCACCAAATCCTCCAGGCAGGAACATAGGTATGTTAATGTAACGGTAAATGATGGTTATAAGAACAAATGCCGTGCAAACTTTCATACACTGGTCCACTGACCATTAGACCCAACCATAAGTTTTGGAAACTACAGACACAATACAGTTTCAACCAGGGCTATAAATATGCGGATGTCGGTCTCGAAAACTTGGACGCTGGTGTCACCCCAAAAATGATATAATTTCCTTCTTCATAGCGCACAGTGAAATGTTAGACAAGCATTCCTTCGTACAG